TTGAAACTATATACCCTTTCCTAATTAAAAATGAAATGAAAAGAAAGGATGCAGTAAGTCACTGAGGTATAGGTCAGTAGAGCAGGACTTTCCTTCTTTTTCTTCTATTGTTTTAAGACTTTCTACTTTAAATGCCACAGAGATATGACTAAAATATGGAGCATGCTGTGGAACAGCTCTTTGGATTTTCCATCTCACTGACTCTGCCAAGGAAGTGATCTGGACCTTTGGAGTGAAGTTTTTTCTTTATAAAATATTTAGATTAAACAAGGGCTCAGGATAGGTGTGTATTTTTATGACAGTATTTCCCAACGCAGTTAAATATAATGACTGAAATAAATGGTTTTCCAACACAGTATTGGAGCATGCCTTTATATTCTCTCAGACTTTCTAGTGGTTATAAAATTCATTTTTCCTGCTCTCTTAATAATTAAAGACTAATGCACACGATGTTATTGATGTAGCCTTTATTTTCTCTTTTTATTAGATTGTTGATCCTATATTTGATTATTCTTTTAATAAACATAATTTTTTGCTTCAATCATCATTTATTAAGAGCCTACTACTTTCCAGGCACTATTTATAAGGTGCTACAGGAAAACTGTGCGTTAGACATAATGTTTTTCCTCAAGTTGCTTACAGCCTAGAGCAGATAACAGGCTTGTGATTCATTAAAGTACAGTGTACTAAGCAATATGATAGAGGTAAAGACCAAGTACTCTAGCGATATAAGAGGCCCACCTTACTCAATTAGGAAGTACTTTCCAGAAAAATGATGCTAAGCTAAGTTTTGAAAGAGTCATCCCAGTTTTCCAGAAGGGAGATAAATGGAATGAAGATAAGCCATATCGAAAGGAATAGAAATAATATGTTTATGAGTTTGGGTTTTATCTTGAATACAGTGAGAAACCACTGAAAATTTTAAGCAAAAGAGAGGCAAAAGTCAGGTATGCATTTTAGAGAAATTCTTTTAGTGACCCTGTGGAAGGTAGATAAAAGGGAGATGACCTGGAGCAGGCAGACTAGAAAGGAAGTTTCTGGAGTAATGCAAGCTAGAAAATGAAAGGGTTGCTCTTAACCACATGGCTGGAAGACAGCATGGTATAGTGGCTAAACACCTAAAATCTTACATGATGTTTGGATGTTCAAAAATTTATATTGAACAGTTTCATTCAGTTAAAAGGAAAATAAATCCAATCAAGATACCTAAGCTTAGGGGGGACTTATGGTAAGCAGTGGGTGTGTGACAGGAACTCATACAGCTTAGGAACTGACTCCACTTGCCATCTCTGTAAAAGGCCTCCTGGTCTCTCCCATTCACAGTTTTGCTCCATTCTCTTTTTCCCTTTCAATCCTTCTCTTACTAATTTCTACTTCATAATGTCTACTTGCCTATGGCCATCACAGCTTCTCAGGCCTCATCCTATGTAATGAATAGTCATTTCCTCCTGCTGAGTGGGAAAGTCTGTCAGTGTTCCCTGGGTCACGTTCCCTAGCTTACTCTGCAGCATTTTAACTGTCTCCAGCCTTGGAGTGACAGCATAGAGGGAGGGTATGGAAGACAATGGGACCCACCTCAGAGCTTGTGAAGTGAGCAGTTGCCTTTAGAAGGGATGATGGAAAGGCATTCCCAGCACCAGTGGCGATAAGACTTCAGAAGGGACATATTCAAATGAGAGTTAGAAATTCAAATCAGCCAAATGTAATGATCCATTAAATATGAAACATAATGAACAGGGAGTTTTTCGATGTGAGCCATTGAATAACTAGTATGCCATCTGCCCAAAAAGGCAAAATAAAAAGGAAGGTCTTGAGATGAGTTTAAATTTGGACTTGTGAGTCAACCTTGTAGGAAATCCCAGTAGGTAACTATATATACTATTTAGCTTTCAAGGGATGTTTGGACTGGAAGTAGCCATTTATGCCCACTCTCTTTTTTTGGCTTCTGAAATACTCTTTTGCTTTAGTCTTCATCACTGCCTCTTCTGTCTCTCTCTGTTGCCTACTCTTCCCTCTTCCTTTATGTGATCTTTTTAGAGGGTCCCATGTATCTAAAAGCCCAGTTCTGTTTTGTTTTGTTTTCTTCTTTTTTATCTTCTGTACATACTCTTCCCTAGATAATCTCTCCAAATCCTAAATTAGTAAATACCATATTTATGCTTGTGTCTTACAAAGTTTTATCTTCAAACTGACATATCCAGTTACCTACATGACTTTTTTAGGTAGCTATCTCATTGACATCTCAAGCTTTTATTTGAATCCCAAATAAAAGGGCCCACCCACCTCCTGTCTTCTTTGTCTTATTAAATAACACTGTTATACTCTCATCTATACAAGACAGGACTTGAGGAACATCCTTAGTATTATCAAGCCAATCCCTTTCACAATGTCTATCAATTCCATCCCCATAATGTACCATGACTTAATTTGCTCCTTTCTACCTCTATTTCTGCCACTGTAGTCAAAATGACTATCAAAGAACTTTTTAAATTTAACTCAATGCCTTCCTATTTCACTTAGAATAAAGTTAAAGCTCCAACAAAGATCAAATGATGTACCCCTCTATCCTTACTATATGCTCCTACCCCACTCTATTCTAGCTACACAACAAGATTCTTCCCTTTATGGCTTCTGTTCTTGATGTTTCTTCCACCTCAAACAATCTTCACTGGACTGGCTCCTTTGAATTATGTGTCACAATTGAATAGAAGGATCTTTCCTGTGTCCAATACAAAGTAGTCCTAATCCCATCACTGTCATATTAATGTCCTTTTTTCTTTTTCTATAGCACTTTACTCTCTGAAGTTATCTTCATTTATTTATTTGCTTCTTTAGGGTTGGTTTTCCCATACCCAATCACCAGAATTTAAGCTTCATGAAATAGAGATGTTGCTTGTTATTCCTGTATCTTTACTGCCTACAGCAGTGCCTGGTACATGTACTATGTAAGTTGTTGAATGAATGATTTAATTAATTAATTGATTTTTGCAAAAGACTCTGAACAGGTCTTCTCATTTCCATTCTTCCCTCTATAATTCATTTGTCATAAAAGACCAAAAATTATCTTTTGAAACTATAAAACAAATCACATCCCTCCACTAATTTAATCTCTGATGGCTTCCCAGTGTGCTTAAAATAAGATCAAACCCAGTATGTTGGGTTTTAGTGCTGCTCTCCTTGCTTGTTACAATCCACTGGCTTCCTTTCAACTCATTAATCATACGAAACTCTCCTCTGCTTGGAATGTTCTTCCTGATGTTCTTTGCATAAGTATTCTCTTCTCTTTCTTTAGATTTCTGTGTGTTATTTCTTCAGAGATTTCCCCTGATCTCTACTTAAAGTTTCCCTTGTTTTTTTTCTTTTTCTCAACCTCTAGTGTGTTTCCTTCATAGCATTTACTAGTTTTCAATTAGTACAGTTATATGTGTGTATATTTGGTTTTCATCTGCCTCTTCCACTAGCATGTAGGATGATCAGGATAGCAATAGTTCTGTCCTTCTGTTTAGTATCCTTAGTACCTAACATGATACTCAGTATACTGATGATACTCAACAAATATTTTAATTTAAATGATATGAAATGGTAGGAGGAGCTCTTAGAGTAAAAGAGATTACCCATGATCCCAAACTAGAAACTTCTAACTAAATCCAGTGTTAAGATGCACTTTTCAGCGTGACATGAATACTACAGTTTATCATAATCCTCATCTAGGTGTGGTATTAAAATATTGTAAAAACAAGTGAGGTCTTACATCAATTAGAAAGGACATATGAGCACCTTGCTTTGTCAGATATGATGCTTTTGTCAGATTTGCTACTACACTTTAGGAGTAGTTAGTGATCCAAGAGGTTGCTGGTTCACAGAAATATCCAGGAAGACCAGGGGAAGAGAGCTTGAGGAGGAAGGGGGAAATAGGCCTTTAGGACAATGGATATTTACCAACTTTTATGGAAGAATTTCAATATTACTGGAGATACTCCACTGCTATCATCTCTAACCGGGCTCTTGTAGATATTTGGGTTTGTGACCCCTCCTGGTTTAGAAAAAGAAGAGAGTAGAGAACAGAATCCTAGATTCATCAACATTCAAAGAGTAGTAAAATCAAATAAACCTAGAAGGGGGCTTTCTTTCTGGGGTGGAAAAAAAGTAGTTCAAGTGGCCAACTGAATCAGTAGATAGGGGTATAGAATTGTTTAACTGCAGGGCGTTGGTGACTCCAGGACAGAAGTTTTGATTGCCCATGAGGTTGGAGATCAACTTTCAGTGGAATGAGAAGTGGCTGTAGACTACTTGGTAGGTATATCAAAGAAGGAAGTGGTGGGCACACTCTTCTGGGGCATAAGGAATGAGGAATTGTATTGTCTTTGAAGAATTTCTAAACAGCAATAAAGGTGACCAAAGTCTGTGTGCTTTTTAGTATCATCATCCTCTGGCAATTCCCAACAAGCTTAAGGTCAAAATTTTCCTCTCCCCAGTTACCATTCTTAAAGAGAGGGGTCGTGTTACAGCTAGAAGAGGGCATAAGAGGATGACTTTATAAGACTAGAGAGACTTGTAAATGTTTATATAATAAAAGGAAAGGATTAGCCTAGAGGAAGTGTTTCAGCAGAGTAGAGGTTATAATCACTAAAGCAATCTGAGGGCATACAGAAAGCACAAAATACAGGAGTGATTTAGCCTTGAACAAAAACAGGGCCTTTAATTCCTGGGGGAAGAATCTTTGATCCTTGATTCGTAGTTGTTTCTTTATGGCTAAGTTACAGATCTCTTTTATTTTTTAAATTAACTAACACATTTTGATTATATTATTAAGTAGTTATTCTTATATTCACTTTTGAAAATAACATTGATGTTTCAATAATAAGGTAAATATACCAGGTGTGACCACTTCTTACTTATTTCAAAGATGTAGAATAACTTCAAATGAATTGCGTTAATAGATATATTCTAATTTCTGTCATGAAATTAATGTATTCTGAATTTGCACTTATTTCATACAGGTAACAAATACTGGGTGTTCAAGGACACAACCCTTCAACCTGGTTACCCTCATGACTTGATAACTCTTGGAAGCGGAATTCCCCCTCATGGTATTGATTCAGCCATTTGGTGGGAGGACGTTGGGAAAACCTATTTCTTCAAGGGGGACAGGTCAGTACACATTTCACATGAGGCAAACAGTTAACTAATGTTTAGAGAAATCAACATTTGTAGTCTATCATAGGCATGTACTGTTTGTTGATGGAACGTCTGTGTGGATATAAACACAAAAGTTAATGCAGTAATATTTAAGATTAATCCTTCTCTAATATATTCAACTAATGTGACTTTCTTATGAATGTATATATGGAGTATATATTCTTTCTTTTCCCCATAATCATAACATGCCTATAAAGCTGTGTAGGCAGTGAATATAGGCTTCCTTGCAATGCATTTTGTTGTAATTTTACTTTATTTAAGAAAGACATGCTTTTTAACACATAATGTCTGTGTTTTCACACTCTAAGTTAAATTTTTACACTTTTCACACTGTCAATAGTGAACATATTCAAAGAATTTCCGTTTAGATGCAGGTTCTATTTCCTAAGAAGCTATCTAGTTAGATACCAGAAAGCAGGTGTTATGAACTATAGCCAGACTATCACTGGGATAAGAGCTTTTAGCTTGAAGTGTAGTATTCCTTTCCAGCTATTTTACTCTCTCTTATTTTTTTTTTCCCTTTTGTGACATTGCTAACAACATTCACAAAATGTAAGTGAATTGTTAGTCTTATAACTTACAGAAGCTAATGGTATATACCTAGCTCCACTCCTGTCCATTTTTTGACAGATATAACTTATAAAACTTATGTAAGTTAAAGGCTGCATTTTGTGTTAATTTAAATAAATATTAAGCATAAAAAGTAATATAAATAAAATCAGATTTTAGTTACACTATTACTAGCTGGGTCATAATGTGGAACTCATAAGGAGCCTTCATTGTTTGTAGAATGACTTAAGTATGCCATTGTATTGCCTTTTACAAGTAATTTTTTTTAAAAAAAAAACACGTATAAACAGGCTTTAATGTCCAACATACCAGTATCAAGTTTGCCTTATTATCTTATCATAAAATAACCCTATAAAATGTTTCGAACTTAAAAAAAAGGAAGAATAGAAACTTAATTTTTAAATTTACAGTTTTTAATTGCGAATGATGTTAAACATTCTATAGATGGTCCCCATGGATATGAATGTACACTTCTAAATTTATTCTGCTACTAACTTTATATAATATACATTATATTATGTATATATATACTCTAATTATATATATATATTCCTATAACAAAATGTTCACAGGTTTTAATTGGCTAGAGTAAAGTTAAGTCTTTGCTAAAATATTTCTTACAAAATCACAAACAAAAAAGATCCATCAAACAAAACTTCTATTAAGGAGAAGATGCTACTTACAGCCACACAAAGTATATCATGATGTAAGTGTAATAGAGAATGAAAGGAGAAGAATGAAGAACTTTATTGCCACAGCATAGTGAAATAAATAATAAAAATAAATCTTCAAACTTATGTTTTTTAAAATGCTATAACTGTTAAGGTTGTTAAATTCCCCAGCTAATTTTAATTGCTTGAATGTACTCTTTCAGGATTAGGTACAATATACAATATGGAGTTACTTTTTTTTTCTTTTCTTTTTTTTTTTTTTTCTTGACAGACAGGTAGAAATGAAAGTCCAAGGAGACAATTTAGAGAAGTTATCTTTTATGGGACAGAAAATGAAAGCTTATCTCTCATAAAACATTTTTAATTAGAGGAGTTTCGTAGATGATGAAAACTGCCATTTCATTATCAGACAGCTCTTTTTTCCACATATGCAGGGATTGTTTCTAAAATGTTTCCATTCTATTCAAATTTCATATCAGTGAAATCAATGAATATTCAATGCCAAATTTATAATAAAGACTATAGTAAATGGGAAAAGGTTTTTAGTTTATTTGCTTCCTACTTGAAAAACTGCATGCAAAATGTGTAGAAATGCTTTTATTATTTTTAAGTTCTATTTAAATAACTGTGGTTTTATGGGTTTTAAAAACATTGAAAGCAGGAATCCAATTAATATCCCTATGTGTGTTCTTATATAGGATATCATGAGTTACAGAGGTTTTATAAAAAGATTACTTTGCATTTATATGATTTTATAATTCCAGAGTCACTACATTTATCAATACATTCATTTTAGATTTTAAAGCAGATGGACAGGGAAATGCAAACTAAAACCAAATTGAGATATCACCTCACCCCAGTTAGACTGGCTATAATCAAAAAGATGGAGAATAACAAATGCTAGTGACAGTATGGAAAAAGGGGTACACTCCTGCACAGTTGGTGGGACTGTGAATTAGAACAACCACTATGGAAAAAAGTATGGAGGTTTCTCAAGCAACTGCAGATAGACCTTCCATACGATCCAGCAATCCCACTTCTGGGGATATACCCAAAGGAATGGAAATCATCATGTTGAAGGGATACCTGCACTCCCGTGTTCATCACAGCTCTGTTTACAATAGCCGAGATATGGAACCAACCTAAATATCCATCAATGTATGATTGGATAAGAAAACTGTGGTATATATACATCATAGAATACTACTCTGCCATAAGAAAGAATGAAATTCTCCCATTTACAACAACATGGATGAGCTTGGAGAAACTTATGTTGAGTGAAATAAGCAGAGCACAGAGAGATAAATACCACATGTACTCACTCATAAGTGGGACCTAAGAGAGAAAGAAGGAAGGAAAGAAAAACCACAGTGGTGTGTTGGACTTCCAGAGGGAGAGAGCATACCTAGGGATACAAAGTGGAGTGGGGGAAAGGGGGTTAGGGAGGGAGGTCGGGGATAATTGGGTGGGAGACATGGGGCATAATCACAATTTGTAGTAATGGGCATGCTGCAAGTATGGATCTGACCATCACATCTTGGGCACGAGTGGTGACAATTAGCTGTGTACTCCATGAATATTCATAACCCATAAAAAAAAGTTCTATGCAAAAAAAAATAATCTTCAAAAAATAAAATAAGATGAAAAATAAAGTAGATGGAAAAGACATTCAACTATCTAATACAAACAGAAACAATTTGGTTATCACTTTTATATGAAAATTTATTTTTCCTTTCCTCTTTTCTCCCACTGCCATCTTTCAGCTTAATAAATAAATAAATAAACAAACAAACAAACAAATAAATAAATAAATAAAAGAAGTTGTGTTAATAGTGTTTGATATTTCTAAAGCAAAGAGCAGAAGGGATTTGAGAGAGAATCTAATCCAGGTGTAAGAAACTCAGTTGCGGGCACGGCGGCGCTCCTGCCAAGGGTTTGGATCCCACATACAGACCGGTTCCCGCTCACTGGCTGAGCGAGGTGCGGGCGCAGCACCGAGGTTTGCGATCCTGTTGCCGGTCCCGGTCTGGTACGGGCGCGACACTGAGGGTTGTGATCCGTTGCCGGACACGAAAAAAGACAAAAAAAAAAGGAAAAAAAAAAAAAAAGAAACTCAGTTGCTCAAAGGGATTAGGTGAATAACATATATACAGCACTACGGGGTAGCACAGTAGTATATACAGCAATAGGAGTGATGGGTGCTGTGGTAAGCTGGAACATGCACATACTCTAGAAAAGCATTTAAAATCAGGATCACTTACAATAATTGGCTAAATAAACAAAGCACATCTTTAAATTAGATTTGGTCCAGTTGCTGCCATATGTCAGCCCTGCACGTTATCCACTTCCTACCAAAATCTGTACACCCTCAATTATACTCCACAGGTGTAATTATATAACCTCAGAGTCACAACAATTATTAATACATTTATTATAGACTTAACTGCCTACCTGTCTAACTACCTTTCATGACAGTATGAATATGGGAGAGCCCCTTCCATTCTCAATAGCTCTGATGCCTGCTTCCTTAAGATTTCTTTACCAATCCTGGGCTAGCCATCATTCAGTCATTCAAAAATTATTTTTGAGCACATACTATGTGACATATGCTAGGATACATTAGTAGAAAAGACCACAAAGCTCCAATCCCAAGACCCTGACATACTGTCAGGGGAGACAAATTATAAACAATAACACGTAAATGATCCTGATAATTTTCACATTGAGAAATGCTACACAGAAATAAAACAAGGTGATGATGCTGTAGACTCATGAGTGGTAAGGAGTGGTTGAGAAGTTAATGTGGGAGTCGGGGAGGGCCTCACTTTTAAAGGGGACACTAGAGTTGGGACTTATGTAGGAATGAAATTGGATTGTTGAAAAACAGAAAAACTTTATGGCTAAAATATCGTGATAAAGTGATAGAAAAGGTCACACAGGCAAGCAGGCACTAGTTATGGAGGGCCCTATCAGCCGCGGCAAAAAGTTTCAATTTTATTCTAAGTACAATGGGAAGGGATAGGAGGGTTTTCACCAGGAAAGTGACATGATCTTCTATGTATTCACAAAGATCATTCCGGCTTCTGTGTGAAGAATGAATTTCAAGAATGGAAGTAAGGAGGGTAATAGGGAGGCTGTTGAAGGAGTGTAGGGGCACAGGGTGGTGCTGGAGATGGAGCAAGATGTCTGGGTGCAGGATACATGTCGAATGTAACATAACAAGTTGTTCTTATGGCTTGGAGATTAGGGGGAGGAACAAAATAAAGCAAAGGTAACTTCTATGTTTTCCACCTAAATGATTAAGTAGGTAGTACCATTTCTGGAGTTAGAGCCGTCAGAGGAAAGAATATTGAGGGAAGGGGATTAAGATATTGAAATACCCATATTTGGACCGAGATGTCTATTTACACACCAAGTGGAGAAGTCAAGTAGGTAGTTGGTTATTGAGTGTGCATCTGGAAAGGTCAATCAGAGGCACAGATTTGAGAGTAAGGGACACATAAACGGTATTGAAAGGAGGGACCCACATGAAGTCATCTAAATATAGAGATAGCTAAAGATAGTAGATGAAATGATGGTTCTTTAAATAGATCTGTAAATTCAGATTAAAATATCTACTGTTTACTTCATATATGGCATGTAACTCAATTGCTCATATTCCTGCTTGCGCTTTTCTTAATACAGTATAATTTGGTACCTAGCTATCTTCATAGCATTTAGCTTTAAAATGCTGTTTCTATATCATCTCTCAGCATCCTCTCACAAATATATCCAAGACTCTATTTCCATATTTCATTCTAAGCTTAACAGTTGAGAATTTTAAGATATTTTCAAATAAAAATGACAGAATTTAGATTCACTTTGGGTTTTTTAAGTTAATATCACTTATAGTAAAGTAGAAAAATATTTTTATTTCCTCCAGCTTAAGTTGTGTTTTTATGACATAATTACGTAACGTTTGTTTTTAAATCATTCAATAGTACAGTAACAATTTATATTTTCTATTTTATTATATTTTTAAGAATGTTTTTAAAGAGTAGGATTTTGAAGCATTAAGAATGCTTCTTTTAAAGAATCATCTGATTTAAGTCAAAATTCTACTAGAATTCTCTCTCTCTACTGGAGATAACTGATAAATCAGAAGAAAAATCTATAAGATTCATTTATAATGGCTTTAATCATTTACTGACACGTCTGCACAAAATTTCAATTCTTTTCCCACTATTTTACTTAAATTTTAACCCCCCAAAATGGCTTATTTACACAGTGTTTCAATCTGAATATGCCAATTTACTACTCAAATGAATACATAAACCTATTTTCAGGGAGAAAAAAAATCATTGGGATGAGCTTATTTGTTCATGTTTAAATATGTTCAAATATGTTGGAAATTAAAATACAAACCTGGATTTATGAATAAGCCTCAGCACCTTTTATGAGACAGCACTGAATATAGTTAGATAATTGTAATCACATTCAAGTTTACTGGATATATATCAAAGCAGACAACCAGAGGGTTCAAGCCTATGTTGAGTTTTTCAAAGATTGTAAAATGATCCCAAATTGTAGCTTTGCATTATCTGCTAGGAGAGGTAAAAATGCTTTTATTTTGATAAATTTATACTAGAATTATGTTCCTACAAGGGAGTCTAATAAAATTTACATCCTATTAATATTTTCTTGAAATATGATCTCTATGAATCTTATGTTTTAGGCATAAAATAGAGTTGCTGAAAAAAGTATTGGTGGGTGAATGGATGTATGTGTAAGTAAAAAAGGGAAGAAGGAATATTTTGCCCAAGCCATGAATAGCAATTGTTTGAATGAGAGCAGCAAGAGAGTAAGAATGACAGATTTATTACAACAGTGCTGTGTCAAGGGAAATACTGGCAAGTAACGTGGTAGAAAACTACACTAAGCCATGAATCAAAGTGAGTTAATTTAGATTTCAACTATGCCACATTTAAACAGAGCAAAGGTGACTAACTCATTTGTCTTTGGCTAACACTATGCCCAATGCCCTATCATTGACTGAATTGAGTGACCATACATACTAAATCCATGGTTAGGACATTATTGTAGAGAACATTGTAACACGCATTATAGAAGACTGTTGGGGGATTTAAGTGAAATAAGATCAAATAATGTATGTATGTAAATTTACTTTATTGCTACAAAACACTACATACTGTATAGATTTTAATACATGAAGAATATCATAACTACTCAGAAAAATAACCTGACTTATAAGTACGTAGCAATGTTACTTAATCACAAACAGGATGTGATCCCACTGTCCCCAGGACTTTAAATTATTTCAAACTACTAAATTAGCACTTAAAAGCTAAGTTTAAGTTATAGTTTATGTCACCTAAAAATGCTATTTATTATATGGTGTATCATTATTTAATCTACCATTGAGGGGAAAACCCTGCCAAGTTAGCTTTAACCCTGTATCGATTGTGAGGTACATTCTGATGTTTAGAGATGTAAAATGTGAAAAAAGAATTTGTGTCTTAGGAACCATGAAATAGGGTATTTGACTATTTCCTTGTGAAAGGCTGTCTTTGGTCACGTGTGGGAAGCATTTAGCGTACATGACCGTTGTAAACCCCATTGAAATATTTACTTAAGAGATCTTATTATGAGCATAACCTCTACCACATTAACCATTCTATATTCATTAAGGAATGTTCTGTGGGAAAGGAATATTCAGAAAAAATTAAAATCAGATGTTTCCATGAACAAACTGTGAAAGAAAATATATTTTGGAATTGGAAGAATGATACAGAAGATTCTGCTTCATTGTCTTTTTCAGTCCCAAGTCACCATTTTTTCAGCTCAGTGCTTCTTTATGAAGCTTCTCGTGGTCTGTCCCTCAGATCTGTTCTCATCTTCCATGTTTTGGGACCCTGTGACAAGTACCTGTGACATTGTTTCTCCTTTTGGATAAACTCTGCCTTCCTGGTTACTTTTGGAAAAGTTTCTGGAACAATCATTTTCTCCTTTCCATGTGAACATTGAAGATGAAGGAAGCACTAATATTCCAGATATTATTTGAGTGAAATTTCTAGGAATTTATAGCAAAACGTTCTGTATAAGATCTCATAACTATGTAGATAAAGGATCCTCCATAGACCTAGCACAGAAAAAATATCCAAACTGGAAAATACTCATTTTTCCCCTAATTTCAGGCAAAATAGCTAATTCATGGATAACACAATAAATGTGTCATTTTCCAAACCTGTGTTGTTTAAACACTAGCTTCAGTAGACGGTCATAGATCTGTAGTGGAGAAGAAAAAGCATTGTCAAATAAATTTGGAAAACATATTTGGTGGTGTCAAGTAAATTTGGAAACTTCATTCATGGTGGTAAGAGTAAATTAGACTTTGGAAATCAGGCAAACCTGGTTATACATTTACCTACCATCCACTGGTCCTCCAGGAATTCTCCTCTCTTCGATGGCGATGGTGATGACTATCTTATGGGTTTGTAGTGATTAAAGAAGATAATGCAGAGAGCATTATGCCTGCCCTAACACAGGCAGTGTCACTGGGAACTCCATTTTGTCAGTCCTTTTGAACGTTCAAGATATAAACTCATTTTACTCTTAAAACATATAGACAATAATGAGTGATCCAAAGTAGGGATGTTCATAGTTTGTTCCCTGGGTGTCTAGGGGTTCTGTGAAAGTGGCTCTAGGGCTGCCCTGTGAGGAGATAGGAGCCTGAGAGTTCTGAGTCTTGAGAGCTTTGCTATTATCTTTTTACTGTCTATACACTGAGAACAGCAATCAAAATCTGACCTACAATTTTATTCATATGCCCAATTTCTTCACCAGCAACTCCACTTTGATGTCTGAACATAACTAACACAAAATTCATGACTCTTCAAACCATCCCAGCTTACCTTCTACTGCTTCCTTATTGTACTGAATAGCAATATTATTCTTTCATAAGATCATGCTCAAAATTCTTGAGTCATATTCAACTTCCTTCTCTCTCATATCTCGCATCCAATCCAATCTCCCTTCAAAATATATCCTAAATCCCCTGAATTATCATCTACTCTACAGATGATATCCTAGGCCAAGGAATATTGCAATGACACCCTAACTGGTTTTCCTGCTTCTGCATTACCCCCTTCAATCTATTTTACTCACAGCAACCAGTTTATTCTATTCAATGATAAGGCGTATCTTGAAGATCCTGTGCTCAAGATACATATTACCTTCCTGTCTCTTAGAGGAAAACCTAAGGCTTCCCTGCATTGCAAAGGCCTATCTAATCTTAGGCTCTGGTTCCCATTCTGACCTTGTCTCCCCACTACTAACTCAATTCTAGTCATCCCAGCCTTCTTGCAGACACTCAAGTAATACAACCATGTGCTTGCCACAGGAATTTTCACTTCCTAGTTGCTCTGCTTAGAATGTTCTTCTCCTAAAAACTATATGTGTTGCTCTTCACTTCTCTCTGCTCTAATATCAGTTTATCAGGGAGAACCTCTGTCCACTAATCTAAAATGGCTTTCCTGTATTCCTAGATAACTTTATCTGCTTTGTTTTCTTCATAGCTTTTACCACCTCCTACCAAATGGTTATTTATTGATAAATTTGTTTATTGGCTATGTCCTCACATATCCTAAAGTGTAAGAGGGATGAGAGCTAGGCATATCAGTTTTGTTCAAGGTCGTATCTCTAAGCACCTACAAAAGTGCCACGTACACAGTAGGTATTCAGTAAATATTTGCTGAATGAATAAACGAATGCAGATTCTGCTTAAGATTATTTTTTAAAAGTATACTGCTGCCTAAGAAAGATTTTTGAAAACCTCTGATATATGTATGAATTTAAGTATACTTAGCTAGTGTAACATACTTAGCTAGCATTTTTTATTAATTTTAGCAGACTGAATAATACTCATTTTTAATATATCCAGGATATATATATATAATAATATACCTATTGTTTAGATATGTAAGACAGGAAGCAGAATAAATGCTTTATACCCACCATCTCCAGTGATTTAAATCAGAACCGATGTTCTGCAAACCAGTAACAGGTATACAGGTAACAGTGTCGAGCATACAGCAAGGATTTAATGAATGTGAGCTATTACTGTTTCTATACATAATTTATTTCCATGCACGTGTTGTTGTTATTGTCATTGTTATCCTTTCTAGGTATTGGAGATATAGTGAAGAAATGAAAACCATGGACCCTGGCTATCCCAAGCCAATCACAATCTGGAAGGGGATCCCTGAATCTCCTCAGGGAGCCTTTGTGCACAAAGAAAATGGTATGTAACATATGTGTTATACATTTCATAGGTTTACCAACTATTTTAATAACACATTAGGCTTTTTTAAGTATATGAAATAAAACCGTTGAAAAGTGCCATACTAGAGCTATCTGGTATTATATTTATGTTAGTTTTCCTTCCTGGATTTATATTTAATATTATGTTGTAGACATTTTTTAACCTCAATTTATTTTAGACCACAAAAAAATTAGAAAAAGATACAGGCAATATTTTAATATGGAACTCATGAATAAAATACCTTTGACGTAACCTTACCTATATTTCTATTAAAATTCATGAGGGCCAGCCTGGTGGCGCACTGGAGAGTGCGCTGCTTAGGAGCGCAGCGGCGCTCCCGCCGAGGGTTCGGATCCCATGTGGAGACCGGTTCCAGCTCACTGGCTGAGCGTGGTGCGGGTGCAACACTGAGGGTTGCGATCCCGTTGCCAGTCAGTAAAAAAGACAAAAAGGAAAAAAAAAATTCGTGAAAACATAATAACACCTGATAATAATGCACACTGAGAGTTATAATTTCTCATGCACTCTTTGGCTTTTAGTGCCCCAAAACTAGGGGGATCCCAGCTCAATACAATCACACTAGAGTGAATATATGGTGTTTCAACAGCAAGGAACAAATCTGAGAGCTGCCTATGTTCTTTGCTCAGCATCTCAGAATTTGAGATTCAGCTAGATCCCAAGTGGCAAGGTGGCTCAACCATGGATAATCCATACTCCCCTGTCTGTTGGCATATGTAAAGTGTGAACATATCTCTTCTTATTCATTGATTAGTAAATAGGTATGTCATATTAATAATTCAAAATAAAATTTATATGCAATATTTCAGAACAAAGAAAAAGAAAGACATCATTCTGAAGTAATTGAAAAATAACACAGAATCTTAATTTTTTTAGCACATGAACTATTTTAATTTCCTGTTTCTATGTACAAGGCCTCTAGAATCTGAGACTTAATTCATTGAAAAATAACACAGAATCTTAATTTTTTTAGCATGAACTATTTTAATTTCCTGTTTCTATGTACAAGGCCTCTAGAATCTGAGACTTAATTCAGTTTCTCTGGAAATAAGTCACAATTATACTTAATTAACAAAAAAATCTTCTTGTTTCCCTCCTGACCAGTGATTCTTCAATTCTCTTCCACCTGAAAATTTAATAATATTCATTCAGTATAAATGAGTGCAATAGTGCTGAACTATATATTCTGAACTGTGTAACTCCTTCTTAAATTGTTTCTACAACCATGAAGAAATATAGTTAACATAAAAAACTAATGAAAATATCTAATTGTATTCTGATGTTATGAAAACATAACTGACAAAATACTATCAATTTCCACCTCTATGAAAATTCATACCTGTGTGTGTTGTACAAAACAGGACTGAGAATGCCAGGATCCTATTTCCACAGCATTACCCACTATCTTCCTAACTCAAGGTTAAATTTCATAAGGAGAAAATGGTTTGCTTATATTCGGAATCTCATGGTTCTTTTCACATAGTGAATAAAACTTTATAAAATACAAAGAAACAAAGGATGTTGGGAAAATCAATGCTTGCAAATGCTAAAAACTACAGATGAAAATTCAACATATGTTTATGTCTTCTGGACCTTTCCTGGTTCAGCCCCCTCTTTGATATCTTTCAACAATGACCTCATTGTTCATCTTTCATGAGTCTTCCAATATTCTTTTCTGGTACCCTCACCCTTGCACTCAAAATCTTGTATTACAACAGTCAGCTGATCTTTCCATTATCTTCTCTAGTGTAAACTCTTCTTAGGCAGCCACATAGTAAACATTCAAAAAATATTAGTTGTTGAAATTAATTGTATCCTTTCCACATCTCTAAAAACTTACTTCCTGGGGTGGAGGAGATGTCTTATTCAGCTGAAATGCTTATTCTTGTAGAACAGCAGTTTCAACCAACCTGGAAGGTCTTGGTCTAGTTAGCAAATTCTCCACTTATTCTCCACTGAGATCTCACGCTTGTGGCCTCTTATTTTAAACTCAAATTTTACATCGTTTTTCCCCTTATGTTTGTATATCAAAGATAAGTAAGCTCAAATTATTTAATAAACACATTCATTTTTATAAATTATTTTGATTCAAAGTAATTCCCTATGAGGATAAGCCCATGCACATAACAAATACAACATCAGAGATGAATGAGCACTGGAACAGTTTCTCTAATTCACTTTTCCACCATTATAGGAATCCTCTCCTAATGGTTATTTTAAAAAGAAAAAAGAAATCCACAAGCTTAAAATTCAGCTATAGATTTTTGAAGAATATTTTTCATATTAGGGTGAAATATGCCTTCCTATAATGTCTACCTATTCATATTAATCCCACTGTCTTGACAATGAAATATGCCTATCTGGTGCCACTTATTGAGGGCTCACTCTGTATCAGGTGTTTTACATAAATTCATTATCTAACTTTATTGCTCTGCACAAATATCTCTTTACCAATACTCAGCTAGTTTAAGAAACTTGCTCATGATCATAAAATTGGTAAGATATATATCTAAGGTTTGAAACTAGGATATTCTGGCCCCACTGAATTAGCTATCTCCAAAGAAGAAAAGTTAATATATTTTTCTGTATAATATCAATAAAGTAATTAACAATCCATCATGGCTGGCTTAATTTTTCATTTTGTTATAGTAGGTAAACCCAGGCTTTCTCAGAAGGTAACTGCCTGAGCCATCCTCCTCCTGGTTTTCACCTGTAACCATATTCATTTAACAATTTTCTTGTTTTCCAATACATTGAACTTTCAGAAGGGGAAAACAAACCTAAGGATACTAGAGATGGGGGGGTGGGGAGGGGTATTGGGGGAGGGGTGTGTTGGGTAAAGGGCATAAAGAAAAATCACAATTGTAATAATAATATGCTTATAATAAATTTAACAATTTTCTTGTTTTCCTCCTTAGTTTTTTTTTTTTTTTCCCCCTTAGTTTTTTTTTTTTTTTCCCCCTTAGTTTTTTTTTTTTTTTCCCCCTTAGTTTTTTTTTTTTTTTCCCCCTTAGTTTTTTTTTTTTTTGCCTATTTTTTCTATTTACTTTCAGCCCCCCAAAATAACTACAGTAATCCGAATGAGATTTCATTTGTGCAGAATATGCAGAGTATGAGTGGAATGATTTCTTCCTAGCACTCATTACTCCATGGTGTTTTTTAAACAACAACATGGGTTTTTTAAGTATACTAAAATTGTGGTAAAGAATCACCCCCTCCTTTGTGTTACTTCATTAATTAATTACTGTCAAGCCACACATCTCAGGTATATATAATCTCTCCTTACAAATGCAATTTTTAGGGTAAATACAAGATTCTACCTTAACACTGTTGTATTTCATTTTACTGATTGCAGCCCCACTTTAAAAATAGTTTTGATTCTTGGTCCTGTTGATTTGGTATATTCATTTTCCACCTCCATATTTTCTCCCTGCTAAAATCTACAAATTTTATTCAAACAAATATTTCCACAAGATTTATTCACATTTATTAAACACTAACTTCTCACTAATAAACATGTAAGAGTGAAAATAGAACACATTGTTACTGCCATCAAGAAACATCTACTAAAGTTATAATGCAAGAGCTATGGTGGACTGTGTCTCATTACATTTTTAGGACAAAGCAATAGAAAATTCACCAGTAAAGTCCAGTCAAATATAAGGGGAAAAAATGATCAAGTAATGCATTTCAGCCTCATTCAGACTTTCTCACAAAAAATGAAAATTCAGATTAAAATCTGTGGAAGTTGTTCCTCTCAAAGTTTTACATATTTCTACAAGAATATAATGTCAAAGCTGTTTAAAAAGGCAAAAAAATTACAAATACCTAAACATCCCTTCAACTAACTGACATTTCATAAATGAAAAAAAGAAAACCTCAATTATTGAATGATCTGAATTTTGCAGGATCAAGGTTTCACATATTTCTATTACCAAGTTTTCAGTCTACTTCTTTTCAAATACTTACATTATCTAACTCCTACGGACTAGACTTCTTATTTCTAACAAGTGTGTTCAGTAGCTACAATTCTACTCCCATACGTGGAGTGTGTTACTATGAAAATGGAAGCTTCTTAAGTTTTGTGTGATGCCCAGTAGCTTTATAGTAATTACCTTTGGCTATAGATTAAGAGTGAGAACACTTCCAGCTGTTGGTTTCTAGTTTATAAACATAAGGAGTACATTCACTTATTTTCAAAGTCTGTTTAATTCCAGATCAATGCCGTTATTCAATTATGATTGTCCAATGTACTGTTATTGGCAGGCCCTTAACATTTTTTCATCCAAGCTTGTTGAGTAATTGCATTGGATTTCATTAGCGTGATCAGATACCAACTCCCTGCAGAAAAACTTGAGTCTACATACACCTGTTTTCACTTGGCAAGTTGCTCTGATTGCAAAACTGTCCTTTGAAACTAAAAGCAACACAGATTTTTATGTCATTGAACAGAATGATTTTCAAAATGAAGTGACCTGAAGTGAAGGTCTATACTTTATGAAATTTTTTGAGACACATCAGAGTTCTTCATTTCAGGGGCAATATCTGTCACAGCCTTTGTTATTTAGCCAAGAAATATTTAATGAAAGATGGAAGATCTCTGAAAGACCCAGTCTTATTAGCAAAATCATTGTGTCCAGACTCTAGATCTCGACCAAGATTTCACCAAATCCTGCTTTTACCAAGATTTGGGCATATGATTCTATCTTCGAGCCTCAATATCTTTGCCTGAAAAGAATATATAGTTAATTTTGCCTGACAGAGTAGTTGTGAGGATTAAAAGAGATGGCATTTACTAAGCTTTTGACACAGTGCCTCTTCTGTAATAAATGCTCAATAAAATAGGGGGGAAAACCCTCATTAATAATTATAAACTCTAAATTATGCATTCTATTCAAAATAGGTAGCTCCCAAAGTATAGTTTTTTAGTAATTATAGCATTAAAACATTTCTTCTTGTTTTTTTTTTTAACTTGATCTCAAAATAAGAATTAGATCCAAGTAGTATAGACACAAACAAACTTGACATGAAGGAGCTATGGACAGAAATTAAAAACTGGATATATGCCCAATTCGAAAAACAAAATTTGGAGAGTAGTCCTACAATGAATGTACATGTTTGTAGTTTAGTTGTCAGGAACTTACAAAGTCTATTATGCCATAATGTTTTGGAACATAAATCATATGTATTGCTGTTATTTGAGCTTCCCACAAACTAGCTCCTTCTCTATCAAATATAAGTTACTGGGAAGTATTAAAGATAGAACTGTAGATTTGTTTAAACTCTATTTTTAAAGGAATTAATAGTGGCTTTGAAAGTTTTATGATATATAGCAAGGTGGCACAAACTTAACATAAACTAGGTAATTAAGAAAATTAAATAAAGGGGACAAAGGAGAAGGGAAAAAGTGGTCATGATCTAGAGCCAGCAATGAGATTAGAACACAAAATCCTATAAATATGTATTTATTTCTTAAGATTCCTGGCCGATGAAGGAAAGCATCTCCAGTTTTATGCTTTATGATTTATTATGATTTCTTGTCCAAATGACAAAAGGAAACCTATTGTTTAAGAGGAGCACAATTATTCATGATACTAAAATGATTAGGAATTTCCCTCGAGGTGTTTTCATGGGGAAGCCTCTTCATGATGTATTGAACAGTGTCCTCAATAGCAACCTGAGGACAAACAGTGTTTCAATTCATGGGGCTGGGTTGCAGCATCTTTCAATATAGATTGATATTACCACACTAACAGCAATCCTACAGGCAGGAAAAAGGATAAAGTTCTCTTTCTAGTGTGGATAAGAAGTACCTATGTATAGCATGGTCTCTGTAGTTTTCTGTACATAATATTTCTCTAGGCAGAGCTTTCTGTAGGCATTAGAGAGTATGGTTCCGAGAGCACAGCAGCCAGAGCCATTTTACCAGACTGCTGAGCTGAGAATAGTGTTTTCTTCCTATGAAAATTGAAGGACCTTAAAATACGTCTTTTAAGAAGTGACTTATTTCATTAACTTTTCAATACGTACACAGTTTCACAAATAAGTGGTACCTCTGTGTGTGTTTCCCCCTCAGGCTTTACGTATTTCTACAAAGGAAAGGAGTATTGGAAATTCAACAACCAGATACTCAAGGTAGAACCTGGATATCCAAGATCCATCCTCAAGGATTTTATGGGCTGTGATGGACCAACAGACAGAGATAAAGAAGGACATAGCCCACCAGATGATGTAGACATTGTCATCAAACTGGACAACACAGCCAGCACTGTGAAAGCCATAGCTATTGTCATCCCCTGCATCTTGGCCTTATGCCTTCTTGTATTGGTTTACACTGTGTTCCAGTTCAAGAGGAAAGGAACACCCCGCCACATACTGTACTGTAAACGCTCTATGCAAGAGTGGGTGTGATGTAGGGTATTTTCTTTCCTTTCTTTCTTTTCCAGGAGTTTGTGGTAACCTGAGATTCAAGACAAGAGCTGTTATGCTGTTTCCTAGCTAGGAGCAGGCTGTGGCAGCCTGATTCGGGGCTGACCTTTCAATCCCAGAGGGTTGCTGGTCCTGCACATGAGTGGAAATACACTCGTGGGGAAGCTTCCATGATACACAGTATCTGCCGTTCTTCAGTCCTTTGTCTTTCTTTGTCATTCAGTTTTAGGCCTTTCCTCTGCACGCTCAATGCCCAGTAAAATTTCAGGATTAACTAAAGAAGAGGAAAAAAGAAGAAATGATTCTTCTTAAAGGTTCCTAATATTATTTTCCTTCTGAAGTCTGAGCCCATTTCTGGGGGGGATAAAAGCAAAACAGAAAATTCACGATTTTTTGCTTTAAAGCAAAGGGAAAAAAAAGTTGAAACAAACAACCCACAATTCAACTTTCAGGAAAGTGTGAAGACCCAAAACAGCTTTGTCTCCAAAGAAGATAGCTCTCTGACAGCTATGGAAAGTCTCCTACGCATCATTTTGTCAGGTGGGAGATCTGGAATACACATGCAGGACTTTAGACTGTTGGGACAGCCATTTTCCAACAAACAAGGGGCCAAAATATCTGCAATATAGTAACAGCCTTAATAATACATCCATTTTTCGTTTTATACAGCTGTTCTCAGCTATGTCCTCAATGTTTCATCACATTTATATTCATAGCTACATTCACACAGGACCTTTTAATTGTTTTGAAGTGTTTCTAAACCCCTTCTTGCCACCTTACCTGTACATCATTGTGATAACCTCCCCAGGTTGTATTAGGCCATTGCCCCAGGCCTTCTATTGGTCTGTCAGGAATATTCATTATAAAGCAGAGCAAGAAACAGTATGTCTCTGAAATGGATTACAGAGACAGTTATTTTACAAGGATTTGTGACACTAGTGATACATTGGTATAACCCTTTGAGAACTATCAGATCAGCTTTCAGAGTCTTAGGATTGTCAGTCTTGCTTTCTGGTGAATTATAGAAACAGACAATGGTAAAAACAGTCATAGGTTCAAGATGTTCAGATTCTTAAAGCGGATATCCTGTAATCCCATGTAATTTTTAAATGATTTACAGTACTACATAAATGCATTTATATCAAACAGAAATGATGTTACTTGCCAAAAATTTTCTGGCAAATAAAAAGGTATTTTATTAAGGATCTCGTAAGGGTGAAATTTTATTCAAACAACTGGTTGTAACAGCCTAAGTCTTTCTTTTTTCTTAAACATATTGAATTTCTGTTTTTAAATCCATTGCATGAAAATTCAATTTGCCTTGGTATATGCAGTTAGCATTGCCATTTTAAAAATGAATTAAAATGGTGACTCTGAGATTGCATGAATATCCTCCAATACATTACCTATTGCATGTCAATCATAGTTCTCAAAGGGTTAGTGTGGCTTCTGGCACTTAGCCATACATTTGATCATTGACAGAGCCGAGAGACCACCAAAGCATTTCACTGTTGAGTGTAATTTGTCCTAACAGCAGTATTGTCATTTTCATGTGACCTGCAGAGCAGGTTTGTATCAATATTTTTTTCCTAGAGAAAAGTCAGCAACTGACAGACCTCTTTATTGATTTTTAGGAGCTGCTTCTTGCAGTGAAAGGCTTTACAGCCACTGGGCTGTGAACTTATTAGAGATGGTCAGAAGGAATGCACCCCATGAGTCAGACATTGGCTTTGTGTGAAAGCCAGCTATTGAGGGGATTAGCTTTTGAAACAATGAACAGCTTGCCTTGAACTTGATTATTGATCTGTTGACTGTCATTAACAACAACTTAAACATTGTCTTCTGTGAAAATTTTCCTTGAAGAGTCCTGTTCTATGTCTTTGCGCCCTTTGACCTTTAACTTGCAAACTGGCACAAAATGAAGGAAATCTGGCGTTGCTTCTCCATTGGATTGTTAATAATTGTTCTCTAAAACCTAGTAAGCATGAGCTGTTTCCTTAGAGTGGAGAGAGAAAGAGTGTTGATGGTGGATCTGCAGATGGACACTTTGCTCTTTACATGCACACTCTAAAAATGTCCTATAGGTAGAAGTGACTTAATTTTCCTTTGATATAATTTCAAGTCTAAATTCATCATTTTAGTACAAATTATAAAAACTATGGGGTGGGGAACCTCAAATACTTGAATGGCCAGTGTGGCTTTTATATAAAGCAGGAATTTTATACTAGTGAAAACTTCTTACTCATTTGCTAATAATACACATTTCCAGATGATTTTTAATGAGTGTAGGTATACATTCTTATTTGGAAATGGATAGTTTGGCTGCCTTGAATTTATATTTATACTCAACATAGCATGAAAATTAGAATGCCTTTTGGTTATACTACATGTTTATGATTTGGTTGGGGAAAATATTTTATAATCATGGGTGGCATGCTGCAAAGCCTTGCAGATTGTTATTTCTTACAAACTGAACATATATACTGTAAAGCTAAGAAGAAAAAAAAAACAGAAAATAGGAATGGCTTTACAGCAAAACATTATGCAATGCAGACTGTATTTTGACAGTATATCAGAGATTATGTGTGAGGGCCAAGAAAGCAAGGACAGAAGACCAGAATCAGCCCTGTAGCTTTACTTCAGTGCTTCCATTCTAGATGATGCTGGTATTATGAAGAGTTAGTCACTGCTGCTGAGCATGGAGGACTATATACATAAGCTTGTTTATACAGTGATTGCTTGTAGGAGGGTTTAATCCTTTTAGGACCTTGATGTCAAGAAAAAAAGATGACTGAAACTATATTTTGCTAAAGATAGAAATGAGGAACTGTGTCATTTTGGGACATGTGCAAATCACCAAGAAACTCCATCAACCTGCATTGAAAATTGATTTTTTTTTCTCTAAAATGAGAAAGAAACTGAATAAGCAATCTATTGCCTCTTTATTCATTCATCACAATATCCTGATTCATCATAAGACTGTAAGTATATAAGGGCTAGAAAATAATCATAGCATTAAGAAGGAGGGAGTCTATCATTATGCTTGAACTCTGGCAAATGTCATGGATAAGTTTTGGGTCATATTTACTTGAATATGAGAGGAGATTTATGTAATAAGAAAAGGCATATATGGCTGCTCTCTTGATTCGAACGTTTTCATTATCAGGCTGTAAGACTACAAAAGATAAGAAAACAGTAAGTACAATGTAATCATAAACACTGGGATTACATTTGTTTATTGTACACCAGGCACTTTGTGTGTATGATTGGTGACTCTTCTTCCACTTGGGGTTTGGAAAAAAAAGTCTCAATCTTATGGGCTAGTGAAAGGGAGAATGACTAACTGATCGAGCACATAAGAAGAGTAATTCAAAAACAATCTGGAATAAATTTCCATGGATCAACAATATAATCTATCAGTTTAGTATCAGCAAAGACATGCAACCTATCAAATATTTTTCAACATCTCATCACTAATAGCATGAAAAGCTCAGACCTAGGGTTTCCCAAATTGAAGTGAAAATATATTCATGCTTGCAAAAAAGAAAAAAATTCTCCTTCTATTATTTTTTTGTTACTTCATTTAATATAAACAGAAATGTAAGCAAGGTAATGTGCTTTACATAAAATAATTATATAGTTTATAGTTTTATTATTTTTTTGTTACTTCATCTAATATAAACAGAAATGTAAGCAAGGTAATGTGCTTTACATAAAATAATTATATAGTTTATAATTTTAATCACATATTGTAATTCTGTATATGATTAACTGTACTAAATGAAGTATTAAAATAGCCAATTGGCTTGAATTCTCTGTAAAGCAGTAATTCCGCATTAGACCTATAGAGAAGGTTGTGAATTTAACTAATGACTCATTTCAGAACAAAGTGTCTGCTGACATGGTAATCAGAGAAGGTAAATACAGATGCTCTTTACAATTGCAAGGTTACATTAGCTAAAGACCATTATATAATACTAGCCAAAACAACAGCTGTTGTAAATCAGAGGGCAAGGCTTTTCTGAATCAAATGTAATAAATTACTAAGTAATGATTACCAAAAAATAATTACTAAGTAATAAAGATACAGACTGGTTTACTGAAATAAGCAAATGTTACTTTTACTAGTCAGCTTGCCTATAATCTTTTTCTATTAACTCATAAGTTGGTTGTTCTATATATTACATAGTTTTTTCATTCCCTTTCTGTGGGTGATTAAAGATAAGAACATTGGATAAGAACATTGTCCAAACTTCACTGGGAGATCCAATATATGGATGATGGTATAGATACTGGATTCTAGGGATAGTAGTATGATATTTACAAGTTTTACATCGTATGCTGATATCTCTAGTATGGTACAAATACACACCCGCACTTTGTGTATCTTGCCGTAGAATAACTAGTGTGTTCATATTGACTAAACTCAATGTGTTATCTGAAGAGAAATGGACGTTATAATCAAATAGACTGAGTTAAACAAGAATCATGAATAGAATTTTTTTTAAGGTTTTGGAATTATTTCCAGAAATAAATAAAGGCAGTGATTTACTGATAGTATGGAGTCTGTGAGATTGTAGCATATACTGAAACAACCTTGTAAATGGTGATGAGATCTTTTTCAGCAAACAAAGCAAAGAGTTCATTTAATTTTTGATGCTCTCAAGAGCATATTCCAAAGTATCACAGATGTAAAAAGAACATGCCATCTAAACCAAAAATGTAAAATTCAGATGACCTTTTACAAATAGCTGTAAGTACAATGTCACACCATATATGCTATCCCAAAAGGTGTCATGTCCATCATATTAGGGGATCTAACAATTCCATTGGATTTCATGTACCTTCATGATATTGATTTATCGTGACCACAGCAAACAAGCACCAGAGCATATGTATATATATAAGTTACACATTCCACATTGCCTAAGAGGGAACCATAGCTATATCAGAAAAGTGTTAACCATTGTATTTTTAAAATTAGAACTTTATGTAATAAAAAAAGCAGCAACCAGGGATGCCACACCATAAATATAAAAGCTAAATATTATATTTAATAAAGGCAAAGGAAGTGGAGGAGGAGGAAAAAATGAGTCTTTTGTAAAATATAAAAACATAATCTAACACTCCTTAATAATACAACTGGAAATTTTACCTTCGCAAGTGTAGAAATAGTAGAGAAAAATGCAACTTCAAGCTCTTCGCACTAGTAATGAGTATGCAATATTTCAATGTATATATTTTAGCCAGTGGTCACTAGATGTTACCTTGCTTAAACACATCTGATACTCGTGCATTGCCGTTTAGGCTAAAAATGTCAGAGGTAG